AACTTCTCTCAAATCACAATACATTTTTGTGGAACCCGGATGAATGGAATATCTGGAGCTATGAGCTTCCTCCATGATCCTCTCTTGGAGTTCATCCACCCTTTGTACACACAACCTACCTTGATACCTCAATACATTATCCCCCATAGTTCAAAAGCCAATACTTTTTGCTTACCAACAGTGCTTTTAATTCAAGCAAAATAGGATTTTGGTCTGGCTTCTCTTTTACTTCTGACACTAATATGATTCAGCCCCATTCATCACCATTACTCCTCCTTCTGTGGAATCCATTAGTTGGACTCCCAATCGCGCAAGTCTATGCACATCTTTCGCTAACTCTCTCTTTCTTCCCCAACATGGGTGGTACTACCAATAGACAACCTGTTTAAAGCATCAACAACAACTTTAGCCTTACCTGGGTGATAAAGAATACTCATGTCAAAATCCTTGAGTAATTCTAACCACCTCCTTTGTATGAGATTAAGCTCTTTCTGAGTAAACACATACTGAAGACTCTTGTGATCGGTGAACACATCCACATGCACACCATAAACATAATGGCACCATATTTTCAAAGAAAATATTACTGTAGCCAACTCTAGATCATGGGTTGGGTAGTTCTTCTCATGAACTTTCAACTGTCTGGAGGCATAAGCTATAACTTTGCCATTCTGCATTAACACGCAACCCAAACCAACTCTAGACACATTACAATACACAACAAAGCCTTGCGTACCTTCTAGTAAGGTCAATACTGGGGCAGTAGTCAACCTCTTTTTCAATTCTTGAAAGCTTTTCTCACAAGCTTCAGACCATTGATACTTCACTGTTTTCTAAGTAAACTTGGTCAAAGGAGACGAAATAGATGAGAACCCCTCTACGAACCTTCTATAATATCCAGCAAAACCCAAGAAACTCCTAATATCAGTTGGAGATGTGGGTCTAGGCCAATTCTGCACTACCTCTATATTCTGAGTATCAACTTTAATTCCCTCTCCATACACAATATGGCCTAAAAATGCCACAAAATCAAGCCAAAACTAACACTTAGAGAACTTGGCATATAACTCTCTATCCTTTAAAGTTTAGAGAACTATTATGAGATGACTAGCATGATCTTCTTCATTCCTTGAATAGATTAGTATGTCATCAATGAACACGATAACAAACATATCCAAATAAGGCTTGAATACTCATAAGGTCCATGAATGTTGCAGGCGCATTGGTCAATCCAACAGACATAACTAAGAACTCATAATGACCATAACGGGTCCTGAATGCTGTCTTTGGAATATCACATTCCCTTACCCTCAACTGATGGTAGTCTGATCTGAGGTCTATCTTACAGAAACAAGTATCACCCTGAAGCTAATAGAAAAGATCATCCATTCTAAGAAGAGGATACTTATTCTTGATAGTAACCTTATTCAACTGGCTGTATTCTATACACATCTTAAGGGAACCATCTTTCTTTCTCACAAATAAAATCGGAGTGCCTCAAGGTGAGACACTTGGTCGAATGCAACCTTTATCTAGGACATCTTTTAACTGCTCTTTCAACTCTGCTGGTGCCATTCTATATGGCAGAATAGATATAGGACGAGTATTTGGAAGAATGTCTATGCCGAAGTCTATTTCTCTCTCAGGAGGGACTTCGGAAAGATCATCAGGAAAGACTTATGGAAACTCTTTTACTACTGAAACTGACTCCATATGAGGTATCTCAACACTAGAGTCATTAACTCGGACTAAGTGATAGACACACTGATTAGTCAACAAATTGGACTCATTTAGGGCTTTATTTTAATAGAAATGGTGTCCTCAAATGCTTATTTATTCTAAATATCTGATAAAACACTTAAGTTTCAGGTATTTGAAGTTTTAGTGGAAGCATGGAAACTTAGGCGCAAAAAGGAATAAAAAGGTTGAAAAGAATGAAGAAGCTGAAGCCTGAGCATCGCCAAGCACGCTTGGCAATTCTTCGAAGGGACGCACTCCGCCCTTTGTTCTAGTATGTTGAGCCCTGAAGGAAATGATCAAGTCGGCATAAAATTGAGCAATCGGCGCATCGCCGAGCAGTTCCGTGAAGCAGTACTATGTCACCCAATGACACAGAGCACAACAATGCTGAAGGTTGGTGGAAGATGACGACGAAATACACCAAACGGCGAATCGTCGAGCAATCCGCCAGCATTATTTTCTGAAGTCAATAAATACTAAACTCTTTAATCATTTTTAGAGAGAGTCGAACAATTATTATAATTTTCACATAGATAGTACTTTTATTTTTGCTCTGAGTTTGGAGAGGGTTTTGGAAACTTGAAGAAGAAGAGGATTTCATCTCCAAGGATTTGAACTTGGGTCTCTTGGATTCTTCATTCTTGGCATATAACAAGACTTAATTCTTCATACCCATTTGAATGCAAGCAGATTTAGGTATACATTTCTATCTCTTGATGTGTGGCTAAAAACCCCCATTCTTGGGGTGTGATTTAGCAAATATGTGTTGATATTATTGTTGGGTCTTGTTTGCTGATAGGTTAGATGTATTTTATTGGTGATTTCACCTAGTGGCTGTGGTTTAATTTAATGGGTTTGTAGTTGCAAATACAAAACCACCTATGTGTTTTTGGCTTGGTCGATCGAGAGGTCGTGAAACCAAGACCGCTAGACTGATGGCCTAAGGAGCAGGTCGACATGAGGTTCAGCCTGAGAGGGTGAGCCCTAGTCCCATATCCTAGCACTCAGCTCGAGAGAGTGAGTGGGGTAAGGCGTATGCTGACCTTCATGTGGCAAATGGGTGTCTGAGAGGAACCCATTTGAAACGGGTAAGTTGACCGAGAGGGAACTTATTTCCCTCTAAAGCTTAGCCTAGTCACTATTAACTTACAAATTTCCTATCAAAAGCATGTACTCAGCGATTTATATCAATTTATATTGCGGTCAAACCCCAAGAACTTCTCCCCATACTTGATCTTCCCTTTAAATTTTGTTGTTTTTATTACACTTGCGACCAAACCCCCAAATCAATATTTGACACTTTTGTGTCCCCTTTTAATTTACAATGTTTTTAATCGTTAATATCTTTAGCTACAACTAGTGAGAACTAAATTTTATTTTTCTATAAATTCTCAAAACCACTCCCTTGGGACACGACCCCAACCCTTGGTTGGGTTACTATATTATCGACGATCGTAGACACTTGAATCAGAAGTAGTGTCATTGGTCACGATAAACATCAAAATGGTGCCTCTACCGGGGAGTGGTGTTATTTGAAATTTTTTAGATTAATATAATTTCCGTTCTTCTTAGTTGTAGTTAGTTAACTTAATCTTGAGTTTCGTTTTGAGTATTTGTGTGTCACAACAGGACATATGAGTGCAAACAGGGAGATTAGCTGCCAAGCAGGTCACCCAACGGGTGATGCTTTTCATTAAGATGACATCGATGATGCTAATAATGTTTATAACCCTGCCCACATGGGCGAAATGGGTGCAATCTATATGCCACAAGCTGATGGAAATGTAGAGTTTGAAGTTAACAGCGCAACACTCCAGCTCATACGTTCAAGAAGTTTATTTGGAGCGTTAGAGCATGAAGATCTGCACGAACATGTACAAAGATTTGTGGAAGTGTGCACCCCTTTGTTGTTCAAGAATCTATCTCAAGAGTCCATACGGCTTCGCTTATTTCCATTTTCACTGACTGGGGAAACTACTAAATGGTTAGTTAAACATCCAAACAACTCCATCAAATCATGGGAGGAGCTGGTTATGGCATTTCACGAAAGATTCTTTCCCCCGTCAAGAATGATGAAACTGAGAGACATTCAAAATTTCAAGCAAAAAGAGGGTGAACCAATTCACGAATCATGAACAAGGTTCAAGAGATTTTTGCGTAAATGCCCAACACATGGACTGCTAGGTGAATTGTTGCTCCAATAATTTTACCGTAGTCTGGATTCGGTTAATAAAGGGATAGCCGATCAATTGGTGCAAGGAGGAATAATGCTACAATCATTTGAAGTAGCCTCATTCCTCGTAAGTGGTATTACTAAAGCAAACCAGGCATGGTGCACCAAGGATGATCAAGTTTCCCCGTTGTGCTTCTGATTGATGCGAGAACAGATCGAAAAAGAAAGGGAAAGTGACAAAAACATCAAGAATATGTTATCTCAATTGGAAATTCTACAAGAACATATGAAGGGGACACATGAAATATTTCAAGTTGAGGAGGGTTCTCCTTCCAGTTATCCAAGACCGGGGGAGAATAAAGGTTGGAACTCCAGAAGATACGAGGAGGGTTTCTACGTACGCTATCAACCGCGAGGCTTAAATCAAGATTGGAACTATTAAAAGGGTGAAGAACCAATGAGATATTAGCAAGATTGGGATGAGCAGGATGATCATGAGGAGGACCATACTCACTTGACTGGAAGTCCGAAATATAAAGGGAGTGCAAATAGTCCTCGGGTAAATGATTTATTATCGCGCATACTCGATAAAGCTGAGGGCTCTAATGATTTGCTTAAAGGGATGAAAAATGATTTTTCATCATTGAACAGTAAAGTGAATTCTCATGTTGAGGCCATCAAAATGATGGAAGGTCAATTGAGTCTATTAGTAGCTCAATTAACGTCCAAAATACCAATGGAAATGTTGAAAGAGAGCTGGATGTGGTTACCCGTAGCGGTAAGGTGCCAGTAGGAACTATGATGGAAGATGAGGATCCTCAAAAGCATGAAGAGAACCAAGGTGCGGAGGAACAAGAAATACCTATTCGAGAAAACCATACCAAAGAACCACAGGAGGAAGCAGAGCAACAACTTCAAGTTCCAAAAGTCATGCACCTTTTACCTAAGATACCTCAACTATTTCCCCAACGTTTGAAAAAGAAGATGAAGACGAGAGTTCAAACAAAAATTGTCAGTATTCAAGAACTTATCAATTAACCTTTCTCTGGTGGAACCATTGTTGGAGATGTCGGGATACGCCTAATTCATGAAAGAGCTGGTTACAAAGAAAAGGAGCTTGGACTATGAAATGATTGAGCTGCCCCATAGTGGCAGTGCATTTATGACAAATGATTCAATCACTAAGAGAGAAGATCCTGGGGCATTCATAATCCCGTGGACAATTGGAATGCTCCAATTCACTAAGGCTTTGTGTGATTTAGGAGCAAGCATTAACTTGATGCCCTATGCAATATACAAGCAACTTGGTTTGGGTGAACCAAAGGCAACCACAATGAGACTCCTTATGGCTGATAGATCAATCAAGCACCCAGTGGGGATACTCTATGTCATATTGGTAAAAGTAGATCGGTTCATCTTTTTAGTTGATTTTGTGATTCTAGATTATGAGATCGATGCTGACATCCCCATCATTTTGGGAAGGCCATTCTTAGCTACCGGGAGAGCATTGGTGGATGTTGAAAGCGGGAAATTGATGTTCTGTGTAAACAATAATGAGGTGACCTTTAATATCTGTAGATCCATGAAGAAATCAAGTAATATCCATGTGTTGTCTACTGAGAATGTGATAGATGAGGTAGTGGCAAGTGTGAGCCATTTAATGCGCAAGAATGAACCCCTTGAATTTGTACTTGCCAATGATGATGAATCCGAAGTTCAAGGCTATGAGGAAGTGGTAGCCACCTTATCAGGGTTAGGAGTAAACTCAAGGAATCCAATCAAGTTGGATATTGACCTGAAAAACAAAGAAAATCCTCCTGCAAAGCCATCAACAGAAGAACCACCGAATCTGGAGTTAAAAGACCTACCCTCTCATCTCAAATATGCCTTCTTAGGAGCTAATAATACTTTACTAGTGATTATCGTAGCCGATTTGCTTGAAAGGCAGGTGCAATTGCTCATTGAAGTACTGTGGAAGCTAATAAAAGCGATTGGATGGACAATAGTCGATACAGTAGGAATTCCTCCTGGCATCTGCACTCACAAGATTCGGCTTGATAGTGAATGTAAACTGAGTGTGGAGCATCAACGGAGATTGAACCCTCCAATGCAAGAGGTGGTAAAAAAGGAGATCATCAAGTGGCTAGATGCGGGAGTGATCTACCCTATTGCGGATACTAAGTGGGTAAGTTCGGTGCAATGTGTATCGAAAAAAGGAGGTATAATCGTAGTCCCAAATGCAAAAGGGGGACTTGTGCCGACAAGACCAGTCAGGTGGAGAGTATGCATGGATTATCGAAAGCTTAACTCATGGATCGAGATGCTTGACCGGTTATCAGAAAGGGGGTGGTATTGCTTTTTAGATGGGTATTCCGGTTACGATCAAATCACTATTGCACCGGAAGACCAAGAGAAAACCATTTTTACCTACCCTTATGGAACATTTGCATTCAAAAGAATGCCATTCAGGTTGTGTAATGCCCCGACAACATTCCAGCATTCCATGTTATCTATTTTTACGGATATGGTCAAAGACACTATGGAGGTATTCATGGATGACTTCTTAGTTGTACGGGACACATTTGAGGAATGCTTGAAACACTTAGGACAAGTGCTCCAAAGATGTATGGATACAAATCTGGTTCTCAATTGGAAAAATATCACTTTATGGTGAAAGAATGTATCGTTCTTGGGCACAAGGTGTCGTAAAAGGGGCTGGAAATTGACAAGTCAAAAATCGAGGTCATTGAGAAATTACCGCTGCCCGATTTCAGTGAAGGGTGTTCGCAGTTTCTTGGGTCATGCAGGGTTTTACAAAAGGTTCATTAAAGACTTCTCAAAGATTTCACTCCCATTATGCAAACTCTTAGAGAAAGAAGTGAAATTTTATTTTAATGATGTTTTTATGGCTGCATTCAGTGTTTGAAGGAGAAACTAATATCCACCCTGATTATCATCAACCCTAATTGGTCCGAATCTTTTGAACTAATGTGTGATGCTAGCGGTATGGCATTGGGGGTCGTGTTGGGGCAGAAGCGCAACAAATTATTTCACCCAATTTATTACGCAAGCAAGACTCTGAATAGTGCCCAGCCAAATTATACGGTCACTGAACAAGAATTGCTTGCAGTAGTATATGCATTTGAAAAGTTCCGGGCATACTTACTAGGCACCAAAGTAATCCTACATACCGATCATACTGCACTCCGTTATTTGCTGGCCAAGAAAGATGCAAAACCACAATTGATAAGGTGGATACTATTGTTACAAGAATTTGATTTTGAGGTAAAAGATCGTAAAGGATGCGAAAATCAAGTGGCTAATCATTTATCAAGGTTCGAAGTAAGGGAAAATGTTGAGCATGAGGCCGACATAGACGACTTATTCCCCGATGAACAGGTGTTTGCAATATATTTCAAACATACGCCATGGTATGCAGATTTTGCAAATTACATTAGGTGTGGGCTGATACCGGATGAGTTGACTTTTTACCAACGTAAGAGGTTCATGTTTGATGTTAAAATGTATATTTGGGATGAACCATACTTATTCCGAGAGTGTGCGGACTATGTCATTAGAAGGTGCATTACAGAAGAAGAAGCGGTCGAAATTCTTCATGCTTGCCATACATCTCCAGTGGGAGGTCACCATGGTGGTATTCGCACTGCCCCTAAAGTTCTATAGAGTGGATATTACTGGTCGTCCCTCTACAAGGAAGCACATGAGTTCGCGAAAAAATGCCCTATATTTCAGCAACAAGGCGGAGTGTCTAGAAGACATGAATTACCTCTCACTCCTATTTTAGAGGTCGAGCTATTCGATGTATGGAGGATCGATTTCATGGGCCCATTTGTGAGCTCATTTGGAAATAAATATATCCTCGTGGCTGTAGATTATGTCTCCAAATAGGTATAGGCCATCTCCCTTCCAAACAACGAAGGAAAAAGTGTTGTCTAATTTCTGAAACACTATATTTTCGCAAGATTTGGCACTCCTAGGGCAATCATTAGTGATTGGGGGTCTCACTTTTGCAATAGGTGGTTTTCAATGGCACTGAGCAAATATACGGTGAAACACAAGGTAGCAACCCCATATCATCCCCAAACAAGTGGCCAAGTCGAAGTGTCAAATCAGGAAATCAAAAGCATCCTGGCAAAGACAGTTAATGCCAATAAATCTAATTGGTCTAGCAAACTCGATGATGCACTATGGGCATACCGGACTGCTTATAAGACACATATCGGTATGTCTCCATATCAGTTGGTTTATGGTAAGGCTTTTCATTTGCCCATCGAGCTAGGACACAAGGCATTGTGGGCAATGAATGCCTTAAATTTGGACTGGTCAAAAACTTCAAGGGAGATGGTAGAATAGTTGAACGAACTGGATGAATTTAGACTCAAATCGTATGAAATTTCAGCCATCTACAAAGAAAAAATGAAGAAATGGCATGATGCTCGAATACTCAAGCGGGACTTCAAGGTAGGAGATTGGGTTTTGTTTAACAACTCTCGACTTACACTCTTTCCTGGAAAGCTCAAATCCAAATGGTATGGACCTTTCAGAGTAACACGAGTGTTCACCAATGGTGCCATAGAAATTGAAGATCAAGAAGGACTTTCATTTAAAGTGAATGGTCAACGTCTGAAATTATATTTTGGGGATTGTCAAGATTTTTCTTTGGTTGAAGTGGTGTATTTAGAATATGCCTGAAGGCGCTGCTGCGTCGTGCCACGACGTTAACTAAGGCGTTGTTTGGGAGGAAACCCAAAACCAGGTATTGCTTTCTTTTGCTTTGATAAAATAATGGCATGTTGATTGTGGAGATGGAAGTATGAAGAGTGAACAAAAAGTGCAGATAGGCAAGTGATGAATCTAGTCGGCGAGTCGCCGAAAGGGTCGGCGAATCCGACCTTATCCGTCATTTCACTTTAGACATCGTCAACATTAGAGTCTATAAAACTCGGCGAGTGTTGGAAATCATTGGCGAATCGCCGACCATGTAGGCAATCATGATGGAAACTGTCGTTTGGAAACCCGTAAACCAGAGGTTCTGTAAACTTCGGCGGAGAAACCACACAGTCGGCGTTCCGCAGAGTGAGTTGGCAAGTTTGACTAACGTCGCCGAGTGGACGGTTTTTGCAAACCAAAGGTTTAAAAGTCCCCACTTCATTCACTTTCCCTCACTTTTTATCTGTTCAAATCCCACACCTGCACAATAGTTTTATACTTCTTGCACTTCTGGAGTATTTTGATTCATTGGTTTGTGCGCGGATTTGGATTGCATTGCCGCCTAGCTTATTGGTAGTATTTCAATGAGTACAAAAGGTTAGTTCCTTAATAATCGTAATTATTTCATCAGCCACTAATACTGCATAGACAGGAACTTTCTTAACCTCCCTCCCTATTTTTCTTTATTTGACATTTCGACTTCTGTGTTATTTGCATTTGAGGACAAATATATTTTAATTGTGGTGGGGTGAGGCCCACACCTTTTGTGTTGATAGTCATGTTTTGTGTTTATATTTGGGTTGTTCTTTTTTTATATTTGTGTTTTATCTGTTTCTGTGGATCTTTGAGCTTGAGGCTCCTTTTATTTTTAATTACAAAATGATTTTGACCCCTTTCGAAAAATTTTGAATTTTTCGCACTTTTTTGCCACCCCTCGTGAGTTGAATATGGCAGTTCTTTTGCAAAAATTTGAAGCTCGATTTTGATCAATACCGATGACTTAAATAGTGCTCTCTATTGAACGAACATGAATGTATGGCTACGATGAGACCAAATGAAGTTTCATAGATAATATGTGAACTCTTTGCATCACGTTGTGATTAGCCATTTATCGAATTGATTCTCTTGTAATAACCGTTGCACACTAGCGAAAGTGTGTGGTCTTGTTTGACTTAAGTGTCGATGCCTTTTGTGATGAGCTTACTTTGAACCTTGCATGAATAAACCTAGAATTTTCCTTGTTAGTCTGATTGATTTAGTAAGGTGTGCTCTTGAAATGATCTTAGGCAACTTTTGAAGAGTGTGAGCCAAATTTGACATATACCTCTTTTGTGGCCTACCCGTGAGCGTGTGAAACTCTCTTGAACAACCTTTGAGCCTTACCTTTCTTTGAAAGAACCATGATGAACCCTAGACCTTACTTGATCCACTACCTATAATCCTCTTGATTTGTGGTTTAGTGAATAGCCAACTTAGTCCAAAATCCTAAGTTGGGGGTGTGGTGAAAAAGAAAAAGGAGAAGTCAAGATGTGCAAGAAAAGTCTCCCTTAACCCATGGTGTTGAGGAAAAATGGAAACCCCCCATATAAAAAAAAAATGAAAAAGAAAAGTTGTGGAATAAAAGTACAAAAGAAATTGGGTTTCCAAGCAATCCATGGAGATGAATAAAAAGAAAACTTAAATGCACTAGAAAACGAATTGATTAAGGAAAAGAATGGGATGCCTTCAGAATACTACATCTCATGAGGAAAAAGTCATTGAGCCTAAATGACCATACCTTTGCACTCATCCCCATTACAAGCCTTAGAAAGACCTTTTTATCTTGAGTAAGCCAAACCGAAGATCGATCGAAAAATAAGGGCAAGCCTTTGGGTGAAAACATGCATTGTGTTCCTCTTTTTTTGAGTGTGAGCATTGCATTTGATTCCTGATCTTGAATTGATTAACCTCTGTGTGTTAATATGGAATCATTCTTTATGTAAGGGCATTTAGATACTTTTTGTTGAGTTTGAACTTGCACAAGTAGCAAGTATTGCGAGCATGAGAATCTTTGGTAATGGTGTATCACAACTTGAATCTTTGAGTACACAACTGATCCTTGCATAAGTAAATTGAGTCTTGTTGTGTGCATTCATGATTGTATCTTGCGTAGCACTGTTTGAGACAACCTTTTTGAACAGCTGAACTTGAGTTTGCTTAAGGACAAGCAAAAGTTTAAGTTGGGGTGTTGATGAGTCCACAAATTGGACTCATTTAGGGATTTATTTTAATAGAAATAGTGTCCCAAGTGCTTATTTATTCAAAATATCTGATGAAAACACTTAAGTTTCAGGTATTTGAAGTTTTAGTGGAAGTATGGACACTTAGGCGCAAAAAGGAACAAAAAAACTGAAAAGAACGAAAAAGCTGAAGCCTGAGCATCGCCAAGCACGCTTGGCGATTCACCGAAGGGACGAACTCTGCCCTTTGTTCCAGTATGTTGAGCCCTGAAGCAAAGGATCAAGTCGGCTAAAAAAGGAGCAGCCGGCGCATCGCCGAGCAGTTCCGCGAAGCAGTACTATGTCGCCCAATGACACAGAGCACAACGATGCTGAAGGTTGGTGCAAGATGGGGACGAACTACACCAAACGGCGAATCACCAAGTTAATCGGTGATTCCGACTAACCTCACCAAGCAATCCGCCAACACTATTTTCTGAAGTCTATAAATACAAAACTATTTATTAATTTATAGAGACAGTCGAATAATTATTATAATTTTCACATAGAATAGTACTTTTATTTTTGCTCTGAGTTCAGAGAGGGTTTTGGAAACATGAAGAAGAAGAGGATTTCATCTCCAAGGATTTGGACTTGGGTCTCTTGGGTTCTTCATTCTTGGCATGTAACAAGACTTAATTCTTCATACCCATTTGAATGCAAGCTCATTTAGGTATAAATTTCTATCTCTTTATATGTGGCTAAAAACCCCATCCTTGGGGTGTGATTTAGCAAATATGTGTTGATATTATTGTTGGGTCTTCTTTGCTCATAGGTTAGATGTATTTTAATGGCGATTTCACCTAGTGGTTGTGGTTTAATTTAATGGGTTTGTAGTTGCAAATACAAAACCACCAATGTGTTTTCGGCTTGCTCAAGAGAGAGGTCGCGAAACTAAGACCGCTAGATTGATGGCCTAAGGAGTGGGTCGACATGAGGTTCAGCCTGACAGGGTGAGCCCTAGTCCCATATTCTAACACTCAGCTCTAGAGAGTGAGTGAGGTAAGGCGTAGACTGGCCTTCATGCAGCAAATGGGTGTCTGAGAGGAAGCCACTTGAAACGAGATAAGTTGCCTGAGAGGGAACTTATTTCCATCTAAAGCTTAGCCTAGTCACTATTAACTTACAAATTTCCTATCGAAAGCATGTACTCAGCGATTTATATCAATTTATATTGCAGTCACACCCCAAGAACCTCTCCTCATACTTGATCTCCCCTTTAATTTTGTATTTTTTATTACACTTGTGACAAAACCCCCAAATCGATATTTGACACTAGTTACAACTAAATTTTAGTTTTCTATAAATTCTCAAAACCACTCCCTTGGGACACGCCCCCAACCCTTGGTTGGGTTCCTATATTATCGACGATTGTAGACACTTGAATCGGAAGTAGTGTCGTTGGTCATGATAAACATCACACACCCCTTGGAAACTAACTTTTTCGCCTCAAGGTACGAAATAAAATGACCCTTAGGCTACTCCACTCTATAACTGGCTCATTAGGAATTTAAACCTAACAACTCGAGTTCTACAATCAATGGAGGCATAACATGCATGAATCCAGTCCATACCATGAATTACATCGAAATCTACCATGTCTAACTCAACTAAATCAGCCATGGTGTTTTTGTGATTGATGGAAATGACACAATCACGATATACTCGCTCAGCTAGAATAGACTCTCCAACAGG